AGAATAATGATAATGAAAAGGTTGAGATCGAAAGAATGCGAGTTGAAACAATGGAGCTTGAAAAGGTTAAGTATACTGAATAGAATAAGAACTGGATAAATCAATCAATACATAATTTAGATTTATTCCATTTGTTACGATGGGTAGTTTGATGTGACATGTTGTTTGTTTATATTTTTGCTTCTAAATTACCCTGTGTGCAAGGAATGGCCGGGGTTACCTTTCAGCGCAGCAACTGAAGATATTGAACCACACATCACAGGATTCAGTAAGATTCTAAGGTGATCACCTAAAATGTTCTAATAAAAAGAGTAAATCAGACGAGAAGGAAGAAACCATCTTGGAAAGGAAAAAAATGAGAAGGAAATAGAACAGATGAGAGAGGAAAAATCTATTCTAATCGAGCTTCAGATGTGCAAAAGTTAAAGGCCAAACCTGTAGAAAGATCAAAGGAAATTTCATCTGATGTGTGATAACATTCTGGAAACTAAAGAAGTCATCAAGCAAAAAGTCTAATTGAAAGCTCAATGAGCCTGCAGGTTTAAGAAACAGGCAAAGCAAGAGATTGGAAGATTCTGGAAAAAACATCTGGAATAGCGATAACACAAGGACCCTAGAAGATGAGTAGATTAAGAACTTAGAATCTAAGAATGTCAATGCTCTGGACAAACTTGGGATGACATTACAACAGTGCTCTCATAATGACACATAAATGGACACTACCTGGTTTAGATAAAGTCAACCACTTCTGGTTACGTGATCTTGATGAATCCCACTCCTTGTAGAACACCTCTCCGAAATGCTTAGAGACTCATTGAAAGCTCCTCAATGGATGTAAGAGGGTGTTACATACCTACTGCCAAAAATTATTGGTCAATAAGCTGTTTCAGCACAACTTATAAACATCCATTTTGACCGATCGCATCTATACCTTCATTGTTACAACTTGTTTCCTGATGAACAGAAAGGATACAGATGATCCTACGGTTGTAAAGACCAATTACTAAATAATAAAATGATCATTGAGAAGTCGAAGCATCGTAATCTAAGCACGGCTTGGAATGATTATTGGAAGGCCTTCGATAGTGTGCCCCTTAATTGGATTCTTATATATCTTGAAATTTATAAAGTATCACCGCTTATTATCAACTTCCTGAGGTCAAATATAAGATTAGGGAAAAAAAAACTACTCTTGTCTCACCAAAAGGAACCCTAAAATCTAACTTATATCAACATTACTTGTGGTATCTTCCAAAGGGACTCTCTGACTCCATTACAGATGCAAAATCGAAAACAGAAGTATTAACACCTCATTATGGACGACCTTAGGCTGTTTGCTAAGATTGATGAGGATTTAGATGGTCGTTGCAAATGGTTAAGTGATTCAGTGAGGATGTTGGTATGTCATTTGGTCTTGACATGTGTGCGAAAGCAACGTTTAAGAAAGGTACTTTGTTGAGAGTGATAATGTGTACTTAGATGACAACAGTACTATCCGTAATTTAGACCAAGAAGTGTATAAGTATCTTGGAATCAATGAAGGAAACGAGTAAGGAGCGATCCTTAAAAATGAAATAAACTCTACAAACCGAGTTGAAGCAGTCAACACTGATGTCTTTTTAGTAGTAATGTACAGTTTTAACATGAACAACTGAACAATATTTGATATCAGAAAATTAGACCACGGTACGTAAGTTGATAACAGCTCATAAGATGCATCACTCTAAATCTGATGTTGACAGGCTCTACATTTCACGTAAGAACGGTACTCTAATTATTGGATCTTACAACTAGTCAAACAACATGAAAATTGAAAAAGAGCACATTCAGCGAGAAAAATAAGGGTGGACTGGAAATTGCACCAAACAAGCTAAACATGCGAAAGTAGCAGCCAAGAAAGAAGGGAAGTTGGGAGAACAAGCCTCTTCACGGTACCTCAGTAATAATCAAGGTGATAATGATAAGATTACAATAATAACAATAATGATAATTTGACAAGTATATTTTAATAATAATAGTAGTGATAATAACAATAGTGATAATGATATTAATAATATTACTACAAATAATGATAATGTATTTAATAATATTACTACAAATAATGATAATGTATTTAATAATATTACTACAAATAATGATAATGTATTTAATAATAATGTAATAATAATTAAAAATGATAATAATGAAGATAATAATAATGATAATAATAATGATATAATAATGATAATGATGATGGGATAGCCGCCGTGGTACAGTGGTAACGTGCGCAGCTTTGGACCGGAGCTCCGCAAGCCCACGGTTCGATTCCCGGCCACGGTCCGAGGTTAGGAAGGGCATCCACTCGGGGCAACGGTCTCCACCTGCCAATACCTGCCACAGAGGGGGGCAAGCCAGCACAACTCGGTGCCAGTCCCAAGCCTGGATAAAGGAGGAGGGTTGACGTCAGGAAGGGCATCCGGTCATAAAATACTGCGCCAACCTAATCATGATGCGGACACAG